TGTGGCGTAGGCGAGATATCCGTCTATCAACCAAAGGACGTGTTTACTGCGCAGCAGTTCGTTCCGTCCTACTTTATGGCAGTGAAACATGGCCAGTAAGAGTAGAGGATATTCGTAGGTTACTAGTATTTGATCATAGGTGTCTTCGAAACACTGCTCGTATATCCTGGGACCACCGAGAAAGCAACTCAGTTATTAGGAGACGGGTAATAGGTAAGGATGGCAAATCAACTGATGATGTAGTGAAACTTAATCAGTTGGAATGGCTGGGACATGTGCTACGTATGCCCAACCACCGACGAGCGATGTTTTATGGTGTAGGAATAGGTTGGAAGAAAGTTAGGGGCGGCCAGACCAAAACATGGCACAAATCCATGAAGTCACTGACAAGTGGACTGAGCCATGTTGGTAGGTGTAGACTACTTGGTTGAGGACCGCGAGATGATAGCAACCGATGGTTAGAGACCTTGAATGACATGGCAGAAAATCGTTTGCAATGGCGCAGGTGCATCCACTCTCTGTGTTCTCCCAAACTCTAATCTTCTGAATTCTTCATGTCCTTTATTTTCTTTCCAAATCTATTCGACTGGACTATACTTCTTAAATAACATCAAACCTTAACCTTTCCTGTCACTACTTATACTATCACTACTCTGCCACTACGGGATTTGAGACGATAACTGAATCTCTGTGCTAATGTGGCATGGAAACTCGAACTGATGTACGTACGTACGAAGTTCCACGTTGTTTCTGACTGACTGACCTTTAGTAATAAAAATATTTTTGTTTCATACCAATCGTTAGGAAAATTGTATTCCTGACGTTTCTTGACTTAATTTAAACTACTACATAATAGCAGACATGAAGGTCTAAGATTTTCATAATGATTGGTGTCCAATTATTATTTAACATCATATTAGTCTTGTCCAAATTTTACCACAGTTTCAATTCTATTGATTATGTATTTTTTGTCTCTATTTTTACATAACATATGGAACATTTTTGAATTAATCGTTTCAGTTTATTAATCAAATAAGTAGAAATGTATATCAGATTGAGGATGTCAGCTCTGTGATTTAGAGGTTAAGGGTTTTCGCGTGACATCGAATTTCCGAGGATCGTGTCATGCGTGTGGACTCGTGGATGTGCACTGATGAGTACTCCCATGCTAGAACGAAACGGCAGTTCAGTCCTTCTAGGTTTCCAGTGGCTGTTTTCCATGATGGTCTACTTTCAATTGACTTATGATCTCAACTATTACGATTACCAAATTTTACTGAATTTTTATATGAATTGATATTCTCACTGAATTAATGCAAACTTTCAAAAATTAAGAGAATTGATGTTCTTTTATTTTGACTTTCATTGATAGTAGTCACTGGAGCTGAAATCTGGTTTTTCGGGGATCCTTTGATTTATTGATAAATATCTAGTTAAGTGGTTTTATTTAATTGCACCTAAGTATTCGATATTACTGATAACTGAAACGATATATAAATGGTGGATTTAATAGTTTTCATTAATATGAGTTTGGACAGATGCACAGTAATTATAATGATAAGGTGGTCGCCACAACAACTGGAGGTCCTCTGGTTATATTGTCAGTGTGATCAGTGTAGTGTACTGCTGCAGATTTCCATATTAGGATAAATCATCCAAGGAATATTGCTTGTTTTTCCATGTTAGCTCGCCTGAAAAAAATCTGTGACAAGCACAACCTATAGGAAATTTTATCTGTGTAACTCATGGTATATTTGATTTAATTATCGCTACTACTGTTTATCGGTACACTAGTTAGGGGTTAGTGTTGAAATTATTATTTTAAAATATATATTTAGGAACCAGTCTTTACTTGACATAATTTTTTTGTGGCTGGGAATAGAATTCAGCATGTTTGTTTTGTTCTATTTGGGATTAGTCAGTTGAATGTACCAGCATACCTATAATGATGTTTACACTGAAACTCTAATCCAGTGCCTTTCACATCAAACACATACTGCGTTAATTGCTTTACCGTAGTTTACTGTGTTATAAATTGTGTCAATATCAGCCTACCCCTAATAATCCAATATCAATTGGAGAACCACTGAAAAACAATGACCGATAAAGAATTATTCATTTTGGTTAATTAAACAATTACTTATCTTCATCTCTCTTGAAATCTAATTCTTTTTAAGATAGATTTGAAGCAAGATACTAACTCATTTAAAAAGAATTTATGACACAGTAATCATTGATATAAATAAGATTTGTATTTGCTATATCATTCGAATATTTTAGTTAATTCAGTTCAATCTTTACTCATATTATAAACCTTCTAAGTTAGTCAATGATAATCATTTATAAATATAAATATATTATCAATATCGTGTTGTGGATAATCGTTGAATTTCATCGAGAGCACAAATCAGTTTAAGTTAGATAGGCATTGTAATCCTGAAAGCACTTGGCTTGTGTACCAATGAATCCCATCTTCGCACATGAGATTGAAAGTACTGGGTTTGATTCCTGGTTAAGGAAGAGGGTACACATCTCTGAGTATCTCCATATTAGGACAAAAGGATCATCCATTGCTTCCAGGTTTTCAATAATTGTCTGACTTAGATCAGTTCGTGATCTTAATAAATATTACTAATTGAGTTCTTTTTCTTTAAGATCATAGATGAACTTAAGATTATTTATTTAAAGAATTTCTCAAGATTTCATTTTTCCACTTAAAAAGAATTTCTATCACCTAGGTGATTAAAGCAACTGATATTTTATTTTGATATATTCAATATCAAAATGTTCAACACTATTACGTAATATAATTATATTTCTTGATTATTGTCTATTTGTGTAACTTTTGTTGTTTACGCTACTGATTAACTTAAGCATTTTAAAAACTTTATTTATAAACTGAATAGTAATCAGTATCAACGACAAGTTTTCACTGATATTTTAATTAATAAAGTGATATTTATGTCATCATAATGTAATAAATAAAATTGATTATTAATCACTTTTCTGATAATTATATACATATAATCGCGCGTACATATAAACACACACACACGCACATACACACAAATTGATTTATCAATTATTTTCAATGAAAAATACTGATTAAAGTTGAAATATCATTAGAAAAATTGAGATCGATTTTAGAGAACTATTATTGTTTTTTGGAAGTTTTTAAATAAAAAAGGAATTGCAACCATAGAGTTTCTTTCATAGTCAAATTCTTACAGTATTTATTATATCTATAAACAAAATGGAGTAGTGTTAGTAAATATGTATCCATATTTTAAATTTTAATAAACTTAAAAAAAACTATACATTGTGTTTCATCCTGTCTGGGACTCATCAGGTGAGTTTATCTATATTTCAATGGACATATTTCACTTCTATATAAAACGACTTTAAGGAGGCTATATATATATATATATATATATATATATATATATATATATATATATATATATATATATATATATACCGAAAAATATTGGTAACCTCATATACTTTTAATTCATTGGTCACATAAAGGACTTTCTTCAGTTAGACAACCATTTTAAATCAAAAATCACTAGGTGTGCCTTTCTAGTATGAGTCTCTTCAGAAGTGTACACTCATCTGTCGAACCCAGAACATTTCAGATCTTTTGGCGAGCGATCAAATTTTATATCACTAAGTAGAAATTTAACTGTTTATATTTGTAATTTCAATCCATTCACAATAATACGTAGACTTCAATACAAACTGCGTCATACTCGATATGATTGTATTTCACTGATTACGGCTTGTCATTAGAAATCCTAAAAATTGGTCAATGGTGAGCACATGTTTGTATATTTAAGTTCAATCTGTGATATTAGTTAAGAATTTTATTAATGTCCATAAAACTCCAATGGGGATAATCATGAATAAGTTGACTGAGAACCATTTTTAAATGAAAAATTAAACATTTAATGAGAGTTCGAAGACATAAAAAAAAAATATTTAACGATATCCATTGATTTTTAGGAAAAATGAAGGATTGGGCAGTTTGTCTAAATGCTAGATTAAACCCATTGTTTTTATCTGGATATAGTCAACAGGGTTATGTATCTGTTACTACCATATAAATTATTGGTTAATATACAGGCTTGTTGGGCATGGCATTAGGATTTGAACCAAAGGATAGTGTGTTCGAGTCTAATTATGAACATAACACGAGGAATACAAGTACATCCAGCTGACAAGACTCAAATAGGAATAATCGGACATTCTGAATTTCAGCATTAGTTACTAAAAAAATATACAGTAAATTGGACTTTGTTAATAATATGCAATAAGTAGTTTCTTCTTCACTTAAGTGTTCTGTTTGATCACGACTGGGTATTATAAATCTTATAACAGCTAAGATTATATGTATAGACTACTCCGTATTGATTTAAGTATTGATGTGGTGCGAATTCAAATTTAATAACTGCTGTATTTTATTTCATTAAACTTAAAGTTATGAATGTGGCTTATCTATTTCTAGGTGTATTTTTCTTATTCAAGAATAAAATTGGAAATGCATTATACCTGTATCAAACCTACTATGTAATATCATTGAATTCATGAACCGATCTAATTTAGACAAAAACATTCAAAACATGGGAACCCAAGGTGTACATTTTGTCCTGGTATGGGTCCACTTAACGGTGCGCATCTATAAAGTTAGATATTAACTCCGTTGGATCTCGGTTTATTATTCTTTAGGGTAAGCGTTCACTTGGGAGACCGAAGTTTCTGGGTTCGACTCTCGTATTTGGGGTGGTGGATGCGCACTCCTGAGAAGTCCCTTAGTTGGAAAAAACAGCCCTTCAGTAATTCCAGGTTTTCAACGTTGTTTCAACTTAGATCGATCCATGATTTCAATCAAATTCAGCAATCTCTACAACCACCTCACTGTCCATTTAGTATTTTTATTCCTACGAGACACTGAAGCCTACTGAATAATATTTAAGTAGCTTAAAAATATGTATAAAATAATGTTGACAACAATTAGTTTTAGAGAAGCTGTACATATTTACATAAATATTGAAACCTATGTATGTCGGTGTGCGCTCGTTTGTATGAACTGTAAATCTTAAAATTAATACAAAGTAATATGCAAATTGAAAATCTGTAAATTTCATTAATATTATGCAAATTATTGTATAAATAGAATATGCCATGACTAACACTACTACTGCTACTCAATATGATCTTAATTTAAAATCAGAAATTTAATTAAATTTTTATTTAAACTTTCGGGATAATATGTTTATGTTTAAGGTGTAGTTTGTATCTGCATACCTATTTCAAATATGTTAATTTACTTGAGTTTTACCAACAAGTGAATGGTTTAATTATACAATCTCTATATTTTTATGTTATACAATGTGAATAATAGCAACAACAAACTGGGATGTAGGCATATGCATTTGATGGGTCTCATATAGAACAATATATATGTCTTGGTTTTTGTTGATAGTAATGATATATATATATATATATATATATATATATTCTGCAATCTCTACGATTTTGTGTTGTTTTTAGGGGTAGCTTTATGTTTATTAAACGACAGTTGAAATCACCTTATTAGTTAAGTTACATGTTCTACCTAAATTGGTCCTGACATACATGATGTATTACTGATCATTACGCAATAAGTATTATGTTAAGCTGATTACATGTAACAACAATTAGAGTTATTCATTATTAATCAAAAACAAGTGTGTTGCAGGGTTAACTATGTATTTTTATACAATCAGTTATTTTTCTTATCACACTGTTGACTATTGAATAAATTAACTGACTCAATGAATCATTCAAGTCAGTAATTGAATCTCAGGAATCTCTTTATATTCTACCTAATATTCCAACTCATTTATTAAGTATAAACTTATTATAAACTTTCATCAGTTTACTGTTATACCAGTAAAATGGAAGAAAACTAAAAGAAATAAATTTCACAACAGTTAATATTAGGTTGGTTCAACAGAACTAAATATAGAGGATATGATTTTAGAAGAAAGAATAAAATTAAATTGTTAAGTGTGTTTAAACTTTTTAATATCTAGATGAAAATATGACTGATTTTGATCCATTTTACATTAATTACAAAAGATCATGGATACCATAATTATGTTTCCCGTCTACCGACATGGTTGAAATAAGTTAATTCAATCCAGGTTTTAGTTTGGCAACTCCAAAACTTCTTTCAACATAATCCAAAGTCATGTCAGAGTAGGTAGTAGTAAGTGACAAGTAATATATATCTTATTCACGTTGATCTAATATAGTTTACGGCCTCAATAATCAACTTTTTAACTTTAATCTACACCTAAACTCAGTATTACACAATTGAATGTTCCTTCATTTACCCACTTTATTTCGAATTATTCTATGGAAAAATATTTGCAAACTAGCTTGTTTAATTTGATAAAGTGAATTAAAAAAGATGTGTATTTATTAGAGAAACAGCTCAACAGGAAACCAATCTATATGTTTAAAGGTAAATTTATTCAATATTTAACATCCAAGTTGCAGATTCAAACCTCATATTACATTACTTTCGTTTAATCAAATGATTATGATCACATTCAACTCAAAGCAAACTATGTTTGTTCTAACAGATCATTTACCTTACTGTGGTTGATTTATTTATTAAAAGTTTTTATTGAATAATACCAAAACACCTAATTCATATTAATAATGTATGTATTTGATTTTATTACTAAATTTATAGAAATTTGAAGAAACATTAAATCAAATTTATCATAATAGTTTACAGAATTATTATTCAATCATGAACAGTTTATCAAAGTGTACAACATTATCTGAGTCAACTGATAGTCAATTATGCTTTAATTCGAATTTAACAACAACAACAACTACTACTACAAAAACAAATGATAATACTACTTTTAATGAAAATAGTAGTACTGAAACAAATTTGATCAATTCTAATAAAGAATTATCAATAAATAATGAACAAAATGAACCAATCAATTTATGTATTCGTGATCAATTTAAATTAAATTTAATGCAACATACTAATAAAATGAAAATTATCAGTAATATAGTTTGTGCTAATAATATTCATGATACTAGTAGGTATAATATCGATTGTTTCGGAATGAATAATTTTAATGGTAATAATATAAATGACAATTATTCTTATAGTAACAATAATTCATTTTATCTTACGGATTTAACTAACAAAATGAATATGAATTTATATGCTACAACGGAGTTGAAATTGTTACCAGACAGTTTAAACCAATTTTTTATGATGAATTATAATAATATACATCATAATTTTGATTATAATTCTGCTAATATTACTAGTACTACAACAACCACTACAGTTATTGATAATAATAGTAACAATATCCAAGGTAGTTCAATGTATTCTATAATACGTACACCTTCGCCAACAGTTCAACAATCCCATCCTGGTAATGAGTTTTTAACATCGACACCAGTGTGGCGTAATAAGCTTACAGATGATATAGAAATATTAAAAATTGGACGAGAAAACCTTAGAGAACAACAGAACGAAAGGGACGCGTCAACAAATGAAGCAGAGAAAATGAAGTGGAGAAAATATTCACGACAAATTAATCGTTTATATTATTCACGTAATAAAATTGTACGTACACGTAAAATTCATCGAAAATTAAAAAATCATTCTGATAATAACAATATACAAAAAAACCCAATTAGTGGTGAAAATGCTAATGATATTAAAGAAAATGGTGTTATTACCTGTCGTACAAATACTAGATCAATTTGTAGGAGACGTCGTGTAGGTTGGCGTGGAACAACAATATGTGCAGCATGTGGATTAATGTTTGAAGGAATGAATCAGCTTAACACGCATTATTCACATGTACATGGAAGTCTTCTAGAATCAGAATGCACATTTGCACAATATTCAAATAGTAAAACATCTAAATTACTATTTCAAGTGAGCGAAGTTTTAATTTATGGTGTTTAATCTCTTGATGCTTTTATGAATGATTATTAACTTTTAGCTACTTGAATATTTGTAAGTAGATAAACATACAAGTGGATAGTTTTAGATAAGTCTACTGAATATCCAGCTTTTTATGATAGCTCATGAACAAAATCACAAAATAATATATATATCACATAAATGATTCGTATTTGTGAAGCAATGGCTTAGTGATGAATGAAAATGGGTCACGTCAAATAATTCATTGGTTCATACCCGCTCTATGTAATTCAGTTTGGGCAGAATTTTTATTTTAAAGTCTATTTTTATGTTATACACCAGTTCCAGTGATTAGCATTAAAATTTTACGTTTTTGGTTTTTAGGCTCAACTTGACCTCTTAATATCTGAAAAAGAACTACAACATAATTCTCTAACATCTACTACTAATGAGAAGAATTTTATTCCAACAACATCAACATCAGTAACAACTTGTAAAGAAAATCATGTTAATATTCCATCAATCGATTCAACTGTCAACCATTCTGTAGATAAACCAAATGATCAATCCAATCAACAAATTATCAATAATCAACAAATAAAAAGTTATCCATGTCCAAAATGTAATTATACAGCTAAATGGCCAACAGAATTACAAAAACATGTTATGGTACATGCAAATTCACGACCATTTATTTGTTGTGTTTGTGCAACTAGTTATAAATGGAGTTGGGATTTAGGTCGACATTTTACTAATTCACATCCTAATTTACCTAATCCATATAAACGTCAACGTATCGGTAAAACAATTTTAAATGAATCACGATTATAATTAGTTTACTATTCAACAAATAATTGACTAAATTATTTTAACTGCGCCTTCAACACTTGGTGAAGAATAAAATATATAATGGACAAATACACTTTAGTCTATTTATATACATTTATTATATTATTTTTCTAGATCAATATTTGTTAATAACCTATTTTATTTATGAATTATTTTCTTTTTGTTATGGGACTATGAAATTATTGACTATTTTTATTTTCTTTTTCAATTGAATTAAATTTCCTTTTTAGATACATTTTAAATCTCATGGATAACCAATAAACTATACTAGGGATATTAGATTGAAAATAAACAAAATAATTGTTTATTTTGTATTGAGATTCAAATATTTTTTTGTTTTGTTTTGCTACTTTGTAGTTTATTATTTAGTTTAGATATTATATGTTTATCACTTCGGAGATTTTTATGAGGAAAATTAAAAAAAGTGTATCGTATTACTTACTAATACTACTACTATTATGATTATTGTTAGTGGTGTACATTCTAAAATTTTTACTTTTATAATGTAAGTTTATTAATGACATGAATATATATGTATAATAAATTAACAAATTGAATGTCTTTTTCTCATTGTTTTATATATTATGGGCTTAGGATAGGAAGTTTAGCGCAGGAATATAATTCAGTCTAATTGTACAGTTCGCTTTTTCATCACTGAATGATATTAACTGAAGTAATTGAGACAGTCAGAAAAAGTTGACTGGGAGTATCGTACCAGTTTGGGAATTTCTAGGAGTACATAATAACTACAAGACACAAAATCTAACATATGACCTCCGACTCATGTGTTCAGCAATATTTTAATCATTTCTGTATTAAAACCGATATTAGAGAACGTTTTATTATGAATTGAACTAATCATGAAATACAATGAAGATACGTTTGCGGATTGTTAAATTAATCAGTAAAATGTGCTGGGAAGATCCAGAAAATTCCTCGAAAAAATTCAAAAAAGACTCTGTAAACGCTGAGAAAACCCCTTATCCAATTAGCATTCAATAGAATTCTTGCCAGAAACACTTAGTAATTGAAAAGCCACATGTCGCGTTTCTGATCGGATAATTACTTATACCGCTACTATTTTTATCAGCGTTCCGGAATTTTCCAGAGGCCCAAGGCCGTCTGAAATACTATAAATAACCTAGATTTTTTGTACATAAACGAACCTTGGCGTAAAGCGTTTATTCCGTATTTCGCGCCTTTTCTCTCGTATTCAAGTTGCTGTGAAGATCTAGCCTGGGGGTTACTAGAAGAGCTTAGGAACCGAATGTGGTGTCCAATTAGAAGAGTTATCAAAATATTTCGATCGGTTGATAGTATACGGTTTTATGAAGTGGCCGAGTGCACATCTACAACTATGTGCGGGAATATCTAACCCAGGACCTTCGGTCGTGTGCGTAAACTCTATATCACTGAGTCGGGATCCAAAGATGCTAATGTCTAACTTCGTAGATGAGCATTACTGAGGAGTTTGATACTAGGACAAAAAGTCCGTTCAGTTCCTATACTTTTTCAATGGTGTCCAAACATAAATCGGTTCATGATTTAAATGAAATTAATGTTATATTGCCATAACTCTGTTTAATCTTTGATATTTGTATGTTTGTCAAGTATTAAAATCCTATGGATTCAGGAATTTAAGTATTTTGTTAATGCTATGCATGTCATTATTAAACAGTATTGGGTAGTCAAACTGTATTCTGACATTATTTTTCAATTATATTTTATCTGAATTTTCTTCTTACTCTGGTTTACAAATTCACTACTTTTCAACTACTGATATGTATTTAAGTAGCCATTTTGAATATTCAAAAATGTAGTTGAAAGTCAGGTATACACGGTTTTAGTAAGAACAAGAAATTACAAGATATGAGTAATTTGATGAAGCCAGGGTTTTACCTAGCCATTAATGTTTATATCCTCTGAATGCTAATTTTCAACTTAACACTGTCAGGTAGGAGTAAATACATATGACAACTTCGAATAATATCGTTTAAACAGTACTATACAATCCGCGTTATATAAACACATCGTTATAACCCTAGTATTAGATTGATTACAGATTTCCATTACTAATATTTTGTCTATAAGCACAAATAAATTTGTGTGTGCTGGAAAAATTTGTTAGTTTCAACCAAGGTGGAAGTTTAACAAATTGTAGTTTAATCACCTAACCGTAGCAGCCATTAATAGAATTCTGAAGGTAACCATTATATTAAGCATAATGTTTATATTTCATTTAGGGCAGTTATAACGGTTACCATGAATTATTCATTTTATGAATGATAACTTCTAAAATGATAGTGTTAAAAGGATTGAAGCAATTTCATCCATATTCGGAATGAGAATAAATAGTTGTCACCAGATTGACTGATGTAGGTTTGATTCTATGATTAAGTATATTTTACATTGTAAGATTAAACGCCTATTGGAATTAGTTGCTACGATATATGAGATTTGAATCAATCATGACCTAGAGAAAAGTAAAGAGTGAAGGTATTTGCACCACTGTAATCAATTCTGAATCATATCATCTGTAGTCTCCAAACAATGATCATGGTTATCATTAGGAATTCAATTAAGTAGTTTCCATTTATCAAAGTGACTCAGACTCACATTGAGTTATTTTATGAACTGATGAAACGATTGGGTTTGGCTGATAGTTGAATAAGTAACAACGCACCACTATCTTAGGTGGTTCGAAGTGGTTGAGAGGAAATCCTGGAACTATGTCTCTTGTTAGTTGGCACTTGTCGCCATGACATACCTGCAATCTTGAGGGAGTTGATGTTTCCTGGTGGACTTGAACCCTAGTTAGTTAGATTCACAGTTTGAGGCGTTAATTCGGGCCGCATTCGCTTCCACTCATCTAATATAAAAAACCATAACGATTCATACTTTCATAACTTTTATTACTTGGTTAACCGGTACATGGGCGAACATCTATCTTCTTTCTCATTATAATGATTAATATTACTCTCTTCATATAAGGTTTAAACATGTTATTATGTTTGTTTTATTACCAAAATTGTTAAGAACCATTTTTTGAGATTTTATTTTAGTAAGACTGTTATTTGAAATGGGAAAAATAAAAATTCTATTTTTAATAAAGTAAAGTGATTTAGAAAGTGCGGGTATATTAAGTATTGAAGTCTATGAAAATTTCCTAGTTAATTAGCACAGGATTTTTGTTTAGCTCATCTTATGAAGGTATTTCATCGTCAAATTTTGTATAAAAACTTTTAACAAAGTGAAATCCAATTTTTAATGGAAACAAATATCGATCTGAAATCCAGAATGCGCGTTTCATCCTATTTGTGCTTCATCATTTGAATGTACCAGTTAAACGGCAGTATTGACGCAATAAACTTAGGATATACATATAGCATGCTTTAATATTAGCAACTTAAAAATATAAACCCATACGAGCGAAATTCATATCTTTTGTACAAGATAGTAGCTAATTGCACTCAGTAGTTCAATAGATAACACATTATTATTTGAGCTGAAAGGTAGTGAGTTCGACTCTAGGTGTGGGTGCCAAAAGCAGGATTCAGAAGCATCAAGGTGATGAGTTCGAAGCGGGAAGAAGTGGGATTTCTGTATTCCTGTGACAGGTACTATCCGACTTAATAACAACTTACGACCAAATGGTAATATCGAGGCGAACTTCTGAAAATGTATGTAAGTTACTGGAAACTGGTAAACTGATTGATATCAACAACGGGGAAACATAAACCCTCAAAAACGGATTTATAAAAGCTCAAAGTAAACCTACAGGAAATTTGTCATACATATTTTTCACCATGTTGATGAACTTTATTCACATGAGATTACAATTAATTCCAACGCTTACTATGTAATTGTTAGTGTTTCAATATCTTAATATCTCTTATCGTAAAACACTTTTTCGAATCGGTTATCAAGCAGACTAAAGATTAGTCTTTGCAAAAATGTTTCGGAACTTTTACTTCATTTCCCAAGGAGCATTTCAGGATTGTTAAGATGTGATCATGTTTTTCATACCACTTTAACTGTTTGCTTTGTGTTACTTAAGTATTTAATTAAGTAGTTTTGAGTGAAACGGTAAAATATAGTTACCAATCCATCGAATTGGGACTGGAGAGCAATATATAAAAAATCCAATCAAATCGTTTGAAAGTTTTTAACTCAATCTGTACTTTATATGGTCAATGGCTTCTTTGTTTTATGTCTGAAAATTGGCTGGAGAATATTTCGTAAAACAATATTTTTCCTCTGAGAAAATTATATAATCTTCATGTAGCTTTATAATCCAGGAAGGGAAGTTAGTTCTAGAAAATAAGACAAATGAATAAACGAATAACCATATGAAAGGATAAATGCAAGAGACAGGGAAGAGTAAAGGATGAAATCATTACTAAATAGTGAAAGGTTATGACAGCTTATTGTATTGTCTAAGATATTCTGGGCACATGAGCTGTTAGTTCCTTATTCAACTCTAAGTAATCTAGTTTTTCAGTCTTCAGTCTTCATTAATAAGGATAGGAGGTCTATCGACCTGTATTAATCCTTGCACTTTGTAATACTGTGGAGGTCCAATCTCGTCTTGAATATATCAACAGAAGGTGCCGATATTACGTGTTCCAGTAGAGAATTTCAATAATTCATTACTCGATGAGAGAAACGAAACTCCAGACGTAAACGATTTGATCTCGGTTTTTGAATTTTTTTCGAGTGTCCTCGCAAACGATCAGTCCTAAACGGAAGTAAAAGATAGGACACGTTAATACCAAGGTAATCGTTCAGTATACGATAAGCCAATATTAGATCACCCCGTATTCGACGGTAAGATAACGGAAATAAGTTGAGGTGTCTCAATCTGTCTTCATAAGATAGTCCAGATAGACCTTGTACCATCTTAGTACCTCGTCGTTGGACTCGCTCTAGCATATCTGCTTCATACTTGAAACAAGGACTTGCTTCTTGAATTCCATATTCTA